ACGCGCGCGCGAATTATTAGAACATTTTAATCCGCGGCTATAAAGGGACTAAAAATAGAAAAAAGTAATATACTGAAATGACAAGGAGAGTCCGGGCTACTCATGCGCTTCCAATAGCTTCGAGCCGCGAGCAAGCTGGCTGACATTTTCTCCTCCAACGTTAATTCAATCGTCCGACATAATTCCTTTCCCGCAGCTTTTATCCCCTTAATCGCCCTTGAAATCGCGTCACTCTTTTCCGCTTGCCTACGAAGAGAATAAAATCTGCACGTTGGACTCTCAGCGCCTCTGTGTGCGCGCTCGGCGATATCTTCCGCAGTCATGTCATTATCCGAGGCGTGCGTCGAGGGCTGCTGACGAGGATTATAATGGAAAATGCGTGCGCGCGTGTTTGTGCGGTATGCATGTACGCTTGACAGACGATCGAAAACGAGAAAAGTAGATAGTTGCGCGGGGTAAAGAGGGACGAACGACGCATAAAATGCCATGGAGAAAGCGAGATGGCGGAGTTGCTCTAAAAGGGAGGAGGACAAGGAATGCTTGCGAGGATGGTGTTGCCCCCTAATTGCATGCCAGACAGTGACTGCATCTTCCAACTTCTCCTCTCTCTCTCACGCTCCTTCATTCTCTTGTCCTCCACCAACATTTCATCCCTCTCCGGTTCTGGTACCAGTATTTGCGAGCAACCCACCTCCGGCGGCACGCCAGTCCGGAAACATAGCATAAGAAACGTTATTGCGCCACTCCGCAAAGTTTCCTGGTACGAGGAACACCCGCGTGTCTTCCTTCTCCTCCGCCATCTTCCATTCTTATCTCGACCTCGCGCTTTCTCTCTCTCTCTCTCTCTCCCCCCCCCCTTCTCCTCGACCAACAACGCACTTCCAGAAGAGGCATCGGACAGAGTGTATTACTTGACGTACTTGCCGTGTCCTTTCAAGTAGGTCCTACTTGAGATGTTGTGAGAACATCATCACGGTTGCCTCATTTCTAGCCGCGTATTTATGAACCGTACAATAGCAACTGTTGATTATGTCTGCGTTCCGATACTCACTACTCCGATATTCCGATGCTGCAGTACTGAAAGTCTATAGTTTATACCACGTGTACTATAGATTTTTAATACTGGCAGCGAATATCGGAACGCAGCCTAAGTGAATATTAGCATGAAACGAGCTCACGGCGGAAAGAATGTTATTATACATAGGATGGTGTATAAAATAATCGTCTCTAACGTCAGCAATCGACGAAATAATACGTGTATAAACGTCTTTTTTTCGATCTTGCTGCAAATCTTATACAAAATTAGAAAAAAGTGAGTTCTCCTTTTACGAGGTGTGGTTATTAAATAACGAGACTGACGCTGCTACAGAAGAAGTGCGCATGCGCCAAACGCCAGCAAGCCACAGCTGTTATCGTGAAGCCTTCTCTTTCGAATGCAGTGCCTCTCGCTTCTGTAAACAAATCAGTATAGCCGTAGCCTTCATTCGCATTAGAGTTGTTTTTTTGTTTCGCCGGAAAAATGTTAAGTGTAACAGTAGAGTAACGAGTTGTTGTGAAATTTCACATGAAACTTGGAAAAACTGCTACTGAAACATATAATTTATTGAAAGAAGTGTATGGCAATGAATGTTCATCGCGCGCACGTGTTTTTGAGTGGTTTAAACGTTTTCAAGATGGCCGAGGAGACGTTCAAGATGATTCATGCCCGGGTCGCTCTTCCACGTCAAAAACGGATGACAATATCGAAAAAATCGGTAATCTGATTCGATCTGACCGTCGGTTAAGTATTCGTGCAATTGCTGAAACTGTACGAATTGTGAAAACGACCCGAATTGTGGAAGGACAAGTCATGGGTTCTCCACCAAGACAATGCGCCGGCTCATTCCGCATTGTCTGTCAAGAGGTTTCTAGCCAAGTTCAGCATCCCAGTGTTAGACCATCCGCCTTATTCGCCAGATCTTGCGTCGTGCGATTTCTATCTGTTTCCTAAGGTAAAATCTGCCTTAAAAGGAACAAGATTTGAGTCCGTTGAAGCTGTGAAAGAGAAAGCGGCACGCATCCTGAAGGAGCTGACAGAAGAAGACTTCCAGCACTGCTTCGAACAATGGAAGATTCGCATGGAGCGTTGTAGGGATAGAGGAGGGGTGTATATTGAAGGTGATAATAAGTAAAAATGTATGAAATCAAAATAAAATGTTTTACAGCGTCAGTCTCGTTATTTAATAGCCACACCTCGTACATAGGGTGGTGTATAAAATAATCGTCTCTAACGTCAGCAATCGACGAAATAATACGTGTATAAACGTCTTTTTTTCGATCTTGCTGCAAATCATATACAAAATTAGAAAAAAGTGAGTTCTCCTTTTATACTGTTTAATAAGTCGCGAAAGAATTTAATAATTCTCTCGTGATAAATAAGGACTGGCTATCGAGAAGCTTGACGTAAGTTACACGGACTACAGTAGAGTATCTTTACAACTTTTCAACACGCGAGCAGAAAGAGAAAGAGAGGAAGGAGGAAAGAGAGAGGAGAGCTCGTCGTTCCGATCCTGGCGGAGGTGACGGTGGCAGTGGCGGCCGGTGGAGTCCTATACCTGTTGATCCCTCGTGTCGGAGAGCGAGTCTACACCCCCGTCGGGCCCGGCGCCTACCAACGCGCGGGGGCTAAAATAACTGCCGGTGGAACGGCCCGGAATTATGCTGGCCTCTCGAAGAGCGATAAAATAAATCATGCTTCGCGAGGACACGCGCGTTGCGGCTGTATCCACCTACTCCGCTCTCATCCATCGCCACGGCGCGTATCCCGGCTTCACAGTGGATAAGGGTGGCGAGGTAGCGAGGCGTCCCTCGGGAAATCAGAGAAAGATGCACTGCGACTCGAAGGGCCTTCCCCCCTTGCCTCGGCGATCCCTCTGACACCCTTTTACTCACCCCCTCGCTCTGTCGTGCCTCTTCGCGGCGCGCGTTTGCGTCATTCGCGTACTTCGACTGCTCCTTGTCTCCCGATGGTCGAACACGCGGCTGATCAGTTCGGCAAAGTGCACAGGAATGGGAACAGAGGAGGGAAAGGGATGGAGGAAAAGAATAAGGAGATGAGAAAGGAGAAAAGAAAGAAGAGAAATGGGAGAACCCGAGACTGAGAAAGTGGATGCATTGCGCCACGATCGCATCGGCGACGGCGCGGCGCCGCGTTAAATTGAGTTTCTCGCATAATTCGCTAGAGAGTTTGCCGTTAAATTCGGTTATTGGACGCGCGATTGTGACCGGAATGCCTTATCGACTGCAGCGCGAAAGAAGGGCGACTTCTCGAGGGTTTCGTCGTTGACACGAGATCCTTTCTTGTCGATTAAATTGCTTTAGGCCCATTTCGTCTTACAGGAATAGTTAAATAAAATTTACGATTATATCAAATGAATTCCATTGGAAGTTTGTGCTTGTTACGTTGATAGAAGAAATAATTCAATTCAACGCGTAATTTAAAACTTATTTATACTGTTATCTCTTTGATCTATTTGACTCGCAGTAATCGTGCTGTAAGCGAGCAATGAGAATTACGGTTGGACAGTAAGAAAAATATTTTCCTTTGGTGCCGAGTGATCTCAACGGTGCACAATACATGCAATAGCCGTGAGCTTAACATGTAGCCGTAGTGTGTTCGGTCAGAGTTTTCTCTCGGTGTGAGAGGAGATGCTCGTTCCCGCAGACAGCGGTGCAAGATGCAACGCGCACATGACAAACCCGCGGAACTACCGCGGGCTGCTCAAAGCCGCGGTCGGACGGCCAAACGAACATTTGCAACTGCTTTCAGCCGACAGCGCGAAAACACTCGACCGCGGCGCAGTGCGCACTCCACGTGGCAAGTCCTCGTCCTGCGCGCGCGAGGACTAGTCTCAAGGACGCTCTTCCGCTCGGTTCGCTCCTTCTACCGGGTGTACCACGAGCGAAGGCCGCACGAAACACGGCGATGCCACACGGCGCGAATGTATACCGCCGATGGCGATGACGGTGGTCGTCGTGTGTGCGCTGTGCCGAACACGAGAAACCACTCAGGCAACTCGTTTGGGGTGCGTTTCCAGAGACGAGCCCGCTCGTGTGTGTACATTCTCTATCTCTCTCTCTCCCTCTTGTCATCCTCCCTCTTCTCTCGTTCTTGGATGTGCTTCCGGATCTATGTGTGGCGAGACAGAGGGCTGAAATAAAATACGGCTGACCTTCGTGCACTCTTTCTCTCTTCCTCTCTCCGTCTCCACTTTTTCCTCGGATTCGCAGCACCGAGTACCCTGGAATTTACCTCATTTTGTCCCTTCGACTTCGAGATAACCGACATCAAGGGAAATCTTCGTAGACCTTTTCCTGACGAGGATCTTCGTTCGGTACGATAATGAAATAGGATCGAATGTCTCGCGTGCAGCATTGTTGTCATTAGACACACAGGAGGTTAATAATAAAATATAATAATATAATATTATTCTTTGCATTATACAGTTATGGTTTATTCGTGCATACATATCGATGACTATGTATATGTGTGTCTTATATAATAGGGAGATTTCTTAGTTTCAGTTGAGAAATTTAAATGGACCTAATTATCTCTAATTATATCTTACTATAGCAGGATTAAATCTTATAAAAATGTTCCCATCTTATACATTTTCTCAAGTATTCCAGCGAGAGAACGTCCCATTTTACAAATAGAAGCGCGTCTGGTCTATTTTGGAGTCAACCAACGAAAAACAGGATTAATATCCAGCGTGACCTTTTACCTAGCGATATTCTGAAGCAGGACAGATCGTAAAGTACTTTTTCACTGATACGCGTGAATTTAGTAAAATACTCAGTAAGGAAATTGCAATTAGCGAATGATTTATCCGGCGGAAGAGATGAGCGTCGCGATAGTCCGGCTAATTGCCGAGATTTGAGACTCAGCGTAGCTCAAAGTTTCTTTGGTATAACGTAGTTTCCGCGCGAGTTAAAGGCGTTCTTTTCGTTTTATGTTTCAGGTATCTTTCGTCTAATGCAGTGGCCTCTCCTGCCCGGCGAACTTTATGAAAACTTCGGTAAGTACAGCGTGAATTCGCAATTTGCCCTCGTTACAGAATGATACATACCAACAGTTTCGCGTGCAGACTAATAGCAAAGTGCTTCCTTCGTTTTCGCGCCGCGGAAACTATCGGGAAACTGTTTTGTTTCCCTTGGAAAATACCTCGGCCCCGTCGCGATGCATCATGCGCGTTATGCAGGAGACAAGGACGAAAGTGGTTTATGCAATCCGCGCCTAACTCCGCCGAGGGGGGAGATCTTTCTTATGAAGGACGTATTTTTCGTACTCCTCGAATTCACGCGAGTCTTAAGACATCTCGCGCGAGCGGCTTTTTACGCGGTGCGAGGGCGAGATATCTTCAGGTGTGTGAGAGATACCGAAGCGTCGTCGAACTTTACAGTCGTAATCTCACGCCTGACGTCGTACCTCGGGATAAACGCGTCAACGCTGAAACGCGATGGAAAATCGCCGAGCGTCACCGTAATAACAGCTAACGCGATTCATAATCGCTCGAGTATACCTAACGCGAGAGTTAAGACGCGGCTGGGATAACTTCTTAGATTAGATTCCCAGGCATGTCGCCAAATTCGCATTCTTGCGCGGCCATTAAACGATGCTCGGCTGTATAAGGCGCTTCTGATAAAGCCTCGCTACCCGCTTTCGCTCGTTCTCTCGTTCACTCTCTCGCTCGCTACCTCTCTCTCGCCTGCCTCTTTGCCTGCCAAAGGCAGCCTCTGGTAATTAAGTCGGGCCCACAGCGACGTCGCTTCCATTGTGCCGGGCAAATGGGTTGTTTAGCCCGGATACATGACTCCATCCCCCTGTTATTGTGCATGTACCGGCGCAATCGATCACCGACCCGCACCCCTCGATCCCTCTCTTCTCGGCCCTCCGCAGCTTTTCCCTCTGCATACCCTCCTTGTCGATCCTGGAGCAGCTGCCACCTCTTTCTTTCTAGACCTCAGTATTATCCAAGTTTTGACAGACATGCGAGAAATGTACGCCGCATCGCGACGTGTAGTTTTGATGATAGATCGTGCGAAAACGCAACGACCCTCTCGCACAGATCGATCTATTTCCGTATTTGCGACTCTCCCCCGACAAGAGTACGGCGAGACAATATTACTACATAATTCGCTCGACGATGTCTCCACGCAAATGTTCTTCTCTACGTGCGAGACGCCTACGTGTCTCGGGGAATCTCCAAATAAGATTCAGAACGAGTTGTTCCCGATCTCGCGCGGAATCCACGGTGTCCCTTGTCTAACCGTGCGAAAAGTGCCGATACCAGTTTCCCCAACGCGACACAGTCCGATGAATAAAGGTCGTCGATCGACAAATATGCGACAAATATGCGACGAACGCGAGATTCGATCCACGCCGTGTACGATAACGCTGGCTCGGCGCGTATATCCACTTTTCTAACGCACTATGGGACGAAGACGAAGACGGCGGTGGTGGCGGCCGTCGCGCGGAAACGGAACGAAAATATTGTTCCACGAAGAGACATTTCGACTGAAGACGTTACACCCCTCCCGAAGTGTATCTCGACTCGAGGGTAGAAAATCCAGCCGAAACGAATTCGCGAAAATCCTCTCCGGGGAGTGGACGTCGAGGGGCGCTCGCGTCTCGCCTCCTCGCCTCTCGGAGTTTTCTGCGAGAACTCTCTGACAGAGACGCTTTAAAAACGTGCCGGGACTGCCTGAAAGCGGATATGCACTCTCGCGGTAACGACTCGCTCTTGTGCTCGCACGGACGGAATTCCTTCACTTTTATTAATACGGGATTACTTCGCCCGTCGATGTCGCCCCTTCTCGCGCGACACGATGAAAATTGCGTCTCGCGACGAACGATATTCATTCATCCTTCTTCTTCTTCTGGGAAGGAACACGCATAGATTCACTTGTCGACCGCACGACATTCAGAAAACACTGAAGAATCGATATAGTATAGGTAGCTGTCAAAATTATAATTAATTTTAACTCACTAATCGGCGAGTGAAACAAGCCAGTAATTATTGAATTGTTATTGATTGATTATAATTCCTATCGTATATTTTGTGCAATTTATCTTCAACGCGCGATAAATTATTGTTAGATTTGTTTTTTAAATACGTTACACTAATTTGATTGCATACTAATACAAGTTGCAAATAATAATAGCTATACGTTGTTAATTAAATATATTTTTTCTCAAAATTATATCAATTTTAATATGATACGGAAACACGACAGATATTATGCAACAAACTAATATATACATTTATTTTTTTCGAATATTCCCCCTAAGATCGCGTTTATTTTAGACTTAATTGTAACATGTTAGTCTTATCTAATCTTTTGTATAGAAACGGGATATACAAGGTGTCTCAGACCATGATGACCCTTTGTGAGAACGAAGAACGGATTGAAGTGAGCAAAAAAGTCCTGTGCCATTTTGTGATATTCGCAATAATAGTCGAGATATTAATTAAAAAAAATTGAGAAGATTAAGAAGTGAATGATCACGCGCGATATGGTAGATGAACTGCAATGGCGCCGTCTGCCGTTATATACTTATACATTAAGTCAAACGGAACAAAAAAGTTCTCTATCATTTTGCAAATGACCACATAGATTTTTAAATAATAAAGAGAATTGTTACATATGATTGTATACCATAATATACAAATTTTCTTTAATTAATATCTAACAATCTATGTGGTCATTTACAAAATGGTAGAGGACTTTTTTGTTCAGTTTGACTTAATGTATAAGTATACAACGGCAGACGACGCCATTGCAGCTCATCTACTATATTACGCGTGATCATTCACCAATCTTTTTTAATTAATATCTCATTATTATATATATATATATTGCGAATATCGCAAAACAGGACTTTGTTGCTCACCTCAATCCATTTTACGTTCTCACAAAGGGTCATCATGGAGGTTTGAGACACCCTGTATACAGGGTGTCTCACACTCTCCTCCGGGTATTTTGTGAGAACGTAGAATGGGTTGATGTAAACATAAAAGCCCTATACCGTTTTGCGATATTCGCAATAATTATTGAGATATTAATTGTAAACTTGTAAATGATCATGCAGGATATGGTAAATGAGTTATTAGCGACTGCCGTCGTGTACTTATACTTTAGGTCAAATTGAACAAAAAAGTCCTCTACCATTTTCCAAATAATCACATAGATTTTTAATTATTAATTAAAGAAGATTATTGCACGATTTTGCTTGATAATGCACTTATCTTCTTTAATTAATAATTAAAAATGTGATTATTTGCAAAATGGTAGAGGACTTTTTTATTCAATTTGACCTAAAGTATACGACGGTATAAGTACACGACAGCAGTCGTCGCTATTATAAATCACTTACCATATCCTGCATGATCATTCATAAATTTTCTACAATTAATATCTCGATAATTATTGCGAATATCGTAAAACGGTATAGGACTTTTATGTTCACATCAATCCATTCTACGTCCCCACAAAATGTCCGGAGGAAGGTGTGAGACACTCTGTATATATATATATATATATATATATATATATATATATATATATATATATATA